AGGAAGGAAGGAAGGAAGGAAGGAAGGAAGGAAGGAGAGAGAGATCAAAAAAGCTTCCTGCCTGATTATATCCAGAGAAATTCCCACATTAGGGGAAGGAATGGATCAGCAAGGGCAGCACAACCATCACGTAACTCTTTACGGTAGGGTGTACCTGAGTCCTGATACTCACCGATGCCGGAGATGTTCCGTTTGTAATTCTCCCCAAAGGAGACCAGGCTGATGGCGATGGTCTGCAGAAAAGGCCGGATCGAAGGAGCAAACTGCAGGATCAAGAATTGGACAGGAGAAGTGGTGAGCAATCCTACTTTTTTTTTCCCTGACACTTGAACCCAGCCTGCCAACAGCTCCAAGCCAGAGAGCTGAATGTACTTCTTTTATTTATTTATTCGCGTCTGAAGCATATCAATTAAAAGAAGGCAAAGTACGGCGTATGCCGTAAAATTGAAACTGTAAAATACAAGATTAAAATGTGTACAAATCAAACAGATCTTGCCCAGGAACTAGCAACATCGTGTTCTGTCGTGCTGCCTTAAGGCCCTCAAGTGCACACCAATTGGGACACAAAGGGTAGGAACACATATGTGTTGTTGTCTGTATGTCACCACAACTGCAAAGAGCAGAAGCAACCGGATAGCTCCGTTTGTTCAGAGTGTCCCTGGATCTTGTTCCCCGGCAATAAATAAATAACGCATTGATTTATTCCTGAAATAATAGTAATTCTTGACTTACAACTTTTTCTTTCAGGACCCTTCAAAGTTACAACGGCACTGAAAAAAAGAGCTTTATGACCATTTTTCACCCAGCATCCCCGTGGTCATCAGTGTAAAAAAAAAAGGGTCGTAAGTTGCTTTTTCCAGCGCTGTTGTAATTTCAAACGGTCATTAAATGAACGGTTGTAAGTTGAGGACTATTTGTAGACAGGAACTGATCGATCTTTGAAGTCTTTTCTTCCCTCCCAGCTGGACTAAAACAACCAGCAACAGATTGATTCCTTTTGGAGGGATACAGTCAGTGGTGGGATTCAGCCGGTTCGCACCAGTTCGGGAGAACCGGTAGCTAATTTTTTGTTGCCCGGGCCCAGAATGGACTTCCAGAAGCGGCATCCACACAGAGAACCGGTTGTTCACCTATTTGAATCCCACCACTCCTTCCTTCCTTCCTTCCTTCCTTCCTTCCTTCCTTCCTTCCTCCCTCCCTTCCTTCCTTCCTTCCCTCCCTGTGGTGGGATTCAGCTGGTTCCCACCACTTCGGCAGAACCGTTAGCTAATTTTTTGTTGCCCAGGCCCAGAATGGACTTTCGGAAGTGGCATCCACACAGAGAACCGGTTGTTCACCTATTTGAATCCCACCATTCCTTCCTTCCTTCCTTCCTTCCTTCCTTCCTTCCTTCCTTCCTTCCTTCCTTCCTTCCTTCCTTCCCTCCCTCCCTCCCTCCCTCCCTCCCTGTGGTGGGATTCAGCCAGTTCCCACCACTTCGGCAGAACCGGTAGCTAATTTTTTGTTGCCCAGGCCCAGAATGGACTTCCAGAAGCGGCATCCACACAGAGAACCGGTTGTTCTCCTATTTGAATCCCACTGGATACGGTGCCGTTTAGCCGGACAAAGAAACCCCAAAGCCCCTTTTGACATTTTCTACCAGCCAGGACGCCGGATCGGATGCGAGACAGGGCTGGCTCCAAATTCAGCTGGGAAGAAAAGACACACAAACGCACAAACAACATGCTGCAGCGAGGCTGAAGAGTGACAGGCAAGTGTTGGGGACAGGAGGTGTGTGTGTCTGTGTGTGTGTGTATGTGTGTAAAACGCAGGAATGTGGCTGACCATTCAGGGCCGGCTGGTCAAGGCTGCAACTGGTCCGGGAAAAGTGGGGAAAAAAAATTAAACAGGAAGGTCAGAGCTGCGTCTGGTTGATAGGGAAGCTACTCAGGCTGTGTGTGTGTGTGTGTGTGTGTGTGTTGGGGGGGTGGAGATTCATCGCTGATAGGAAATAACATGAGCTCTGACGTCTGTAGAGCTCTGATTTCTCAACCTTGGGCACTTTAAGAGGACTGGACTTCAACTCCCAGAATTCCCCAGCCAGCATGGCTGGCTGGGGAATTCTGGGAGTTGAAGTCCAGCCCTCTTAAAGTGCCCAAGGGTAAGAAAACACTGCTGTCGAATTAAACGTTCAGTGATAAGCATTTCTTCTCTCCAGGAAACAATGACTTAATTTCGTACCCCGCCCGGAATTACTATGTATGACTTGGGCGGCTGCGTAAATTTGTTTAACAAATCTATATAAATAAAAACGTAAATGTCCGTTTGTTCAAAATCTTAAATCTCCGAAGGTTCTTCACCGATTGCTTTGAAATTTTGACAAAACGTTGCATTCGAATACGCGCGGGTTTTTATATACCTATATTATATAGATGTCACACCTGTGACAGGTAAAAACATGCTTTTTTTTTGAAAAACAGCGCCATCTGTTGGACGTAAAAGCAACACACGCTTTTACCAGACTGAGCCACAGCAACGCGAGGCCGGGTACAGCTAGTAATAATAAATATTAAAATAAACTGACTTCCCCAGGATGTTTTTTGCCCTCCGCCAAACCATTTCAGCTAATTGCTTTATTTCCTCAACCGGTCTCATGTTTGCGCGCGTTCCAAAATAGGAACAAACTAGAAGCTCATTCCTGGAGGAAAATGCCCCCCAAAAAGCAGGGCTCTCCGATCTTGGCAACTTTACGACCTGGGGACTTCAACTCCCACAATTCCTCAGCCAGCCGTGGAATTCTGGGAGTTGAAGTTCACGAGCGGTAAAGTTGCCAAGGTTGGAGACCTCCCCCCCCCGACCTAAAGTGAATCAACAGAAAGGAAGTAATGTCCAGTTTCTCCAAGAAATCCATCTGGGGATGGGATCAAAGAGATTAAACCCCAAACTAGGTTAAAGCGATCAGCTCAGAGGCCGGGAAGAAAGGAAGAACAGTGCAAATTTCTTTGGGTTTGCCAATTTCTGTGTGTGTGTGTGTGTGTGTGTGTATCTAAAAATAGGACTCATCCCTCGGGATGCGTTTCGAGACAGCAAAAAATATATAACATTTTGATTTTAGGCTTTGCTGATTAAGCTAGTCTGTCGCAATAAACATGGCTTGTCCTTGTTAAGGTGGTCGAGTAAAAAAGCTGAGGTTGCAATTCTATGTTGTATTTTACTGCGCTGAAAAAAGTTGGAAGTCAAAGTTTTTTTTCCCCCTTTCCTTCTTTGCCCTACATTTTTCCTTTCCTCCCCTTTTTCCCATTTCCCCACTATTTTTATTTTCACTTGTATTTTAGTGGTTAAGGTAGGGGTCCTCAACTTTGGCAACTTTCAGACTTGGGGACTTCAACTAGTCTGGTGTCTTAACCACTAGACCAGGGGTCCGCAACCTTGGCAACTTTAAGACTTGCGGACTTCAGCTCCCAGAATTCCTCAGCCAGCATAGCTGGCTGAGGAATTTTGGGAGTTGAAGTCCACAAGTCCTAAAGTTGCCAAGGTTGAGGACCCCTGGGTTAAGGCACCAGGTTAGAAAACAGGAGACGGTGAGTTCAAGTTCCATCTTAGCTATGAAAGCCGGCTGGGTGACTTTGGGCCAATCACCAGGCGATGGTGAATTCTTGTCCCACCTGAGCCATGAAAGCTCCTTGGGTGACTTTGGGCCAATCGCCAGGCGATGGTGAGTTCTAGTCCCACCCGAGCCATGAAAGCTCCTTGGGTGACTTTGGGCCAATCACCAGGCGATGGTGAGTTCTAGTCCCTCCTGAGCCATGAAAGCTCCTTGGGTGACTTTGGGCCAATCACCAGGCGATGGTGAGTTCTAGTCCCACCCGAGCCATGAAAGCTCCTTGGGTGACTTTGGGCCAATCACCAGGCGACTGGGAGTTCTAGTCCCACCTGAGCCATGAAAGCTCCTTGGGTGACTTTGGGCCAATCACCAGGAGATGGTGAGTTCTAGCGTTGTCTTAGGCAAGTAAAACCAGCTGGGGGACTTTGGGCCAGTCCCTCTCAGTGCAGCCCACCTGACAGTGTTGTTAGTGTGGGGAAAACACACAGTGTTGGATATGTTCGGCACCTCGAGTTATTTGTAAAAAGAATATTCTTATTTGTAAAGATAACAAAGATTGTTGGATATGTTCGCCTCCTTCTTTGTAAAAATAATAAAGACGGGACGCAAACCTAGCTACCTACAATAATCCTAATAAAAACACTTCTTCTAAAAGAAAGAGAGGCAAAACCCTTGGATCTTCCCTCCCAAAGAGTTCACCTCCCCAATTCTGCAAGATGGCTGCCTCGGTGGTCCTTACCTGGAAGCCCATGCAGCGCCCGTAAAAACAGCCCTTCTGCATCGTCATGTATTCCTGGAGAAACTGTCTCGAAAGGCCCCGATCCTCGTGGTTGAAGAGGTACCCGGGCCGGTTCTGAGTCAGCAGGTGCTGGGCTAGGTAGACCAAGGCCCGGAGCTGGGTCAAGGCCACACAGTACGCTTCCAGTTCGGCGCAATTGTGGTTGGTCCGGAAGAAGATGCTGCGGCGGTTGGCGGCCACGTAGCGGCTTTTGTGGATGATGTGAGCCACGCAGCAGCGCACCGTCTGGGCCAGGCTGCGGTAGCCGTTGGCCGGCGTGTGCTCGTCCAGGTCAAAGATGTGGTAGACGGCGGAGAAGTGGTCCAGCATCGGCTCAAGGCTCCGGGCATGTTCTCGGATGGTGGTGAAGGTGGCCAGGAAGCGTTGACCTGTCTCGGTGGGGACGTTCTGGAAGAAAGCCACGTTGTCCTCGGTCAGCGTCAGCAAGGTTTGGAACAGCGGCCGGGCGTCCATGGTGCTGGAATTGGGGGAGCCTGAGATGGGAGGAAGAGAAAGAATGAAACCGTTCCAAGAAGAAAGGAGAGAAGAGACTGAGGATGCCATTTTGGAGGCAGAAGAACAGTGTGGTCCCAACTCCTAACTTTTTACTTACATTCTCCCGTCTCTGTCTCAGCTAAGTACTCCATAAAGCCCACGTAGCTCCTGGAAGACTGCTGGCCCTATAAGGGGAGGGGGCATGGCTTAATACAGCAGCAATCCTCAGCCCCCAACTCTCATCCCCAATTGTCCACCCCTTTGAGTGGACAGGAGGAGACCATACTAAACAGGACGAAGCAGGAAAGGACCAAGGACATTTGGTCACAGAAATGAGGGGAAAGCTTAAGCCAAGGGGGTGTGCGTGTGCGCAACCTTGGCGATTTTGAAGACTTGTGGACTTCAACTCCCGCAACTGGCTGGGGAATTCGTGGAGCTGAAGTCCACAAGTCTTCAAAATTGGACAAGCTTGGACGGAGCCGATACCGTATAAATCACATTTCTCAACCTACTTTTTACTTTCCTTCCTCAACTCTCCACAAAAAAAAGTACAATTGACCGGATATTTTCCCTCCCGTGGGAGGGAAGGCGCGCACCACAAAACTCACAATTTCTTTGCCAGATTGCCTTTTGCTCTTTCCCACCACCCCAGTGTGAGACACACACACACGTACCCCCCCCCCCCGGTTCTCTCCCCACGTCCTCCTCCCAGCCCCATTTCAGCTCCTCAGGAACAGTAGTCCTTGTCACGGTGGTCTAGTTTCAGACCCTGGAAGACCCTTCCCATGCGCTGTCCCCCTTCTCACAACCCCCAAAGAAATTTACGAGGTCTCTGCCAGGGAGACCCACCCCTCATCCCCGCAAAGGAGACGAAGATCAATGTTGTTTCGGATTCCCCTTTTGGAGTTCGGGAAGGGAGCAAAAGGGATCGGTGGGCATCTCTGCCCACAGCTGAGACCCTTCCCCATTTTGCTAACAAATCTCCCCGTGCAAGGTCATCTCACCTCGGGAGGGGGGGGGGATCCTGTGCAAGGACAGGAAACTCACCCGGTGTCAACTAACCGGCATCCAGCCTTCTGATGAAGGGATCAAGTTGCCTTACAAGCCCCGGAGGCTGACTTAAAACACCGCTGGGGAAACTGACTCCGCCTTTGGAGGAGGAAGAGGAGGGGTCAGTCCAGAAGAGGGGGCAGGAGGAAAGCAGAAGGAACCCCCCCCTCGCCCCCCAGGTTTGCTGGGTGAAGGGGTGCAGGCTGAAAGGAGATGCCTGAATTTAACCCACCACGAGGAGATCTGGAGACCGAGATAAACAGGATGAAAGGATGGGCATCTCTCTCTCTCTCTCTCTCTCTCTCTCTCTCTCTCTCTCTCTTTCTCTCTTTCCCTCGCTCTCTCTCTCTCTCTCTCTCCTCTCCATGAACTTACTATTTTTCCAGAGAAGACGATCATCTCCTCCGGAGACAGGAATTTGGGGGCAGCAGATCAACTTTCCTCTGAAATGCCATTTCTGGAATACATGAGGCGCCACCAGCAAGTCTTTAAGGAGAAATCTGGGTGCCCATTGTGGGGAGGGGGGGGGACCAAGGGGAAGGGAAAAGTTTGGGGCGCAGGAGAAGCAGGAATGATCAAATGGGGGAGACGGTTTTGGAAAGAAAACCCGCCAGACTCTTCACAGGTGGTCCTCGGCTTACGACCACAACCGATCCCAACGTTTCTGTGGCTAAGTGAGATGTTTGTTAAGTGAGTTTTGCCCCGTTTTACAACCGTTCTTGCTATTATTTGTGAGGCAAATCACCGCAGCTGTGAAGTTAGTATAACAATGGTTGTTAAGTGATTCTGGCTCCCCCCCCAGTGACTTTGCTCGTCAGAAGATTAATTAATTAATAATAATAATAATAATAATAATAATAATAATAATAATAATAATAATAATAATAATACACCATTGTTGCTACTTTGTCATACTACAGGCAGCGGCATGACAAAGTAGCAACAATGGTGCATTGGAAGATCTGCAAGAAGTATCATTTGCCTGTAAGCAAGAACTGGTGGGATCATAAATAAAGTCATAGAAAATGATAAAATTAAACTACTCTCGGACTTGAGAATTCAAACAGACAAGCACCTGCAACGTAACACCCCGGACTTAACAATTGTCAATAAGTTCGATAAGACAAAAAAATCTGGATAGTGGACGTGGCAGTGCCTGGAGACAGCAGAATAGACGAGAAAGAACTGGAGAAGATAACAAAATACAAAGACCTACAAATAGAAATAGAAAGACTGTGGCAAAAGCAAGCAAGGGTAGTACCAATAGCAATAGGTGCCTTGGGTGCAATCCCAAAACAACTGGAGCACCAATTGAACACCATTGGCATTGACAAATTCGCCATTAGTCAATTGCAAAAGGCGGCCTTACTAGGAACTGCTTCCATCCTGCGATGATATCTGTAATACCATCAAACATCCACATCTGCCTATCCCAGGTCCTGGGTAAGGACTCGATAGGTAGACAAAAATGCCAAATCCAGTCTGAACATCTGGCTGACTGTGCAATGACCAATAATAATAATAATAATAATAATAATAATAATAATAATAAAAAAAAAGTTGGAAGGGACCTTGGAGGTCATCTAGTCCAACCCCCTGCTCAGGCAGGAAACCCTATACCATTTCGGACAAATGACTGTCCAGTCTCTTCTTCAAAACTTCCAGGGTTGGAGCATTCACTGCTTCTAGAGGCAGGTTGTTCCACTGGTTAATTGTTCTCACTGTCAGGAAGTTTCTCTTTAGTTCCAGGTTGCTTCTCTCCTTGATTAGTTTCTATCTGTTGCTTCTTGTCCTGCCTTCAGAAGCTTTGGAGAATAGCTTGATCACAAAAGGTGATCCCACCACCCCGGGACGTTGCAGCCGTCATAAATATGAGTCAGTTGCCAAGCATCTCCATTTTGATCACGTGACCACGGGGAGGCTGCAACGGCCATTAAGTGTGAAAATAGGTCCTAAGTCGCTTCCCCCCCCAGTGCTGTTATAACTTAGAACGGTCCCTAAATGGACCATTGTTAAGTCAAGGCCTACTTGTACTGTAGGGAATAGAGAGCTCAAATTCTGTGGCTTGGAAGAATACTCTCCTACAGGTAATCCTCGATTTACAGCCATTAGTAAATCGAGGACTACCTACACACATCTCTCCTATAAGGCTTAATCATTTTTCCCATCAGCTGAGCACAGGTATCTGAGGGGGCTGCCACAAGGCAGAGGGGGCCAGGTTGTTCACCAAAACACCAGAGGGCAGGACGAGAAACAATGGTTGGAACCTGATCAAGGAGAGCAGCAACCTGGAATTAAGGAGAAACTTCCTATCAGTGAGAACAATCAACCAGTGGAACAGCTTGCCACCAGAAATCGTGGGCGCTCCATCACTGGTGGTTTTTAAGAAGAGACTGGACAGTCACCTGTCTGAGATGGCATAGGTTCTCCTGCTTGAGCAGGGGGCTGGACTAGAAGACCCCCAAGGTCCCTTCCAGCTTCTATTCTATTCTAATTTGCAAAGAGAAAGTTGATAAGACACTTGCCCCACATCCCCTGCAGGGATCTTCATTCCAACCCCATGAAGTTTAGTTCTAAGAAAAGAGGAACTGTGTTGTTTTCATCCTTATACAAAACAGGGCCCTTTCTCAATAGCTGGCACGCTGCCTTGGCTCTTGACCCTCTTCCGTTCCCGAGTCCAGATCGAATGAAGAAGAATCAGCTTTTTTTTTTAAGTGGGGCACATTCTGCCCCACGGATGGGTAGCTGCAGTTGAGGGGCTGTCGGAGCCTGGTGGGGAAGCAATTGGAGCCTTTATAGAGGGACCGGATTACGTCCGCAACTCAGCCCACAATTTCGGCGGCTAACACTGGTTAAAGTGAATTTTGTCCCGTGTTATGGCCTTTCTCACCCCAGTTGTTAAGTGAAACGCTGCAGTTGTTCCGTGAGCAACACAGTTGCTAAATGAATCTGGCTTTCCCATTGTCAAAAGGTCGCAAAAGGGAATAATGTGATCCCGGGGATGTTGCGACCGTCATAAATATGACAGCTGTCAAGCATCCTAATTTTGGTCCCCTGATTGTGTGGATGCTGCAACGGTCCTAAGTGTGAAAAACGTTCATAAGTCACTTTTTTTCCGTGCTGTTGTAGCTTTGAACAGATTACCTGTAACCTCCCACTGCTTTTTGACCAGAAGAAATAACTATTCCAGAATTGGGCAGGTTTGGAAAAGGATCCTGAGAGATTCTTTTAATTCATTGGGCTTTCAATCCAGAAGCTCCAGGTTGATCTTCCCAACATCAAGAATACAGAAGGACAGAGTTGGAAGGAACCTTAGAGATCTTCTAGTCCATCTCCCTGCCCAAGGAGGAAATCTTATCTCGTTCCAGAAAAATGGCTTTTGAACCTCTTTTTTAAAAAAACCTGATGGAGCACTCACAACTTCTGGTGGCAAGCCGTTCCACAGATTAATTGTTCTCACTGTTAGGAAACCTCTCCTTAATTCTGAACTGGCTCTCTCTTTAATGATCTTCCAACCCATTACTTCTTGTCCTGCCCTCAGGGGCTTTGGAGAACAGACTGAACCCCCCCTCTTCTCTGTGACAGCCCCTCAAATATTGGAAGGCAGCTGTCTGGAGAAGGAGGAAGGACAGATTTACATTTCAAGCCTGGTTTAATATCCGTTTACGTACTTTAATATCCATTTCTACCCATTTAAAGGACTTCTGATTTGTACAGGAAGCCCTCCACTTATGACAATTGGGGTTATAAGCATGCTGGCTGGGGAATTCTGGGAGTTGAAGGGACCCATCTCCCATCGCCAAGGTTGAGAAACACGGGTCTAAACCCACTACAGTCCCCAAACCCAAACTCAGAGAGTGTGTTTGCCTTAAATAGGCGGGACAGGCCATTCCTTGAAGGGTCTTCTGGAAGGAAAAAAAAAAAAGAGAAAAGATTATGCTTTCTTATCCCACCTTCCCAATTTGTCACGCAGGCCTATATATCAGCAGCTGGAAAGCTGAGCCGGGTTCATCTGCTTCCTTCTGCTTTGCATGTGTGGAAACCCTGCCATTAAAAAAAAAAACCCAAACACAGCCAGACTCCCAGGAACGGGTGCAATTGTGATGTCACAGGTGTCGGCCAATCACCGCTGTGGACAGCCAGCTTCTGCCACACCCAACCAGGTGAGATTCTCATCATTCATGAACGAACCGTCGGATCCTTCTCCACGGAGCCAATGGGCAGGTTGCAACGCCGTCTCCGAACAGGTCGCCGATTCCTCCAAGCAAGGTACAGTTATGCAACAGGGACGCTTCCACCGAAGCACAACCTGTGACATTCACCTACGGCTAGACGCCCTCTAAGAGGCACATCAGGTACTGTCAGGCTTCATCGCCGTTTGTGATTACTATTAATTAGCAGAGGCGCCCGGAAGGATAATTTGCCACAACTGTGCTGTGTGGGTAGACAAATAGAGACCTTATCTACGGAGAAGATGTTGCACACATCACAAGTTGGCTTCCTCAGCTATGAAAAGTCGTGGGTACTGAATTCCAAAGCCTAGGAAGGAATGCATATAACTGGAGCCACTTTGGTGTAGTGGTTAGGGCACCAAACTAGAAACTGGGAGACGGTGAGTTCTAGTCTTGCCTTACGCATGAAAGCTGTCTGGGTGACCTTGGGCCAATCACCAGGAGACGGGGAATTCTAGACCCACCTTAGGCATGAAAGCCATCTGGGTCAGCCACCAGGAGACTGTTGGTTCTAGTCTTATGTTAGGCATGAAAGCCAGCTGGGTGACCTTCGGCCAATCACCAGGAGATTGTGAGTTCTAGTCTCACCTTAAGCATGAAAGCCATCTGAGTGTCTTTGGGCCAATCACCAGGAGACGGGGAATTGTAGATACACCTTAGGCATGAAAGCCATCTGGGTCAGCCACTAGGAGACTGTTGGTTCTAATCTTATGTTAGGCATGAAAGCCAGCTGGGTGACTTTGGGCCAATCACCAGGAGACGGTGAGTTCTAGTCCTGCCTTAGGC